TTATACATTAGGCGTTATACCACACTATATCTATGCCTTAAAAAATCCTTGCGAGAACAAATAAAAACACTATAGTAGGCCAGGGGCCAAAGTATAAATAAATTAAAACTATTTTGTTTAATATAGTTAGTCATATAATGACTTTTTAAAATAAAGCGCGATATGAAGTGTTCGGAAAAGTGTTCAATAGGGTTCGTTCTTGGAAGAAAGCATGTCGATGTCCCAGATTTCATTAAACTGGCTGTGTAGATTGAAACAAAGAAAACAAACCGGACACACCCAGAGGCCGACAGAGCAGCTTTAATCGATTCAGAAAGCTATTCTTATTATTTTATTATTTTAAGTAACACAATGTGCTGCATACACCTTAAAACTGAATATAGTTTTATACCGGTAGCAGTGGAAAGTATAGCGACGAGTAACGATGTAAGCTAGAAACAAACAAACGAAATTTAAAGATCACAACGTAAATGCATTATATTCGATCGATTCGAACTGTAATGAAACACGCTGAGAATAGATTTATTTTGTCATTAAAAAATAAAATTTATTGCTTTCATTTTATGTAGCTATACGGTATTCTAAGAAGATTAGAAAAATATCGTTGTACATAAGTATATAACTGTAACGTATATAGTTAACTTAAAATGTTAATTTATATACGTACATACAAAGACCTCTAGGTCTAGTATAGTATAGTATAGTATAGTATACATGTATACATTATTATATGTTTATATGCTTAAAAAATAAATAGTTTATATTAATATTAACCGGTACAAAATGTAAGTATACAAAATTTTATCGCTTATTTAATTAATATTATATAATATCACAATTTTCTTCATAAAACCTTAAAAAATGGTACTTTGATAAGTAAATTCTATAATGTGATCTCTTAACTCTTAAATATAAAAGTGACTTAAGACTTAATATTATTAAATATATGTATATGTATATAAATATGCACTTATATGCATATAGAAATTGTTGCATGTAATAATTTTTCAAGATATGATTTAAAATTTAATAAATAGTTAGATTGTACCATACAGACAGATAGAGAGAGAGAGAGAGAGAGAGAGAGAGAGAGAGAGAGAAAGATAGAAAGAGAACGAGAAAGGAAAAAGGGAAAGAGTTATAGGGATATATATATATAAAAAATTTTCTTCAGTTTTTATTCAAACACATATTATTGTACTAAGGAACAATAACGTTGTGATATATTTGTATATGCATATGCATATAAATACATGTATCTGTGTGTTATGATGAAAATTAAAAAAATATATATATATATGTATATATAAATTTTTATTATTTTCTTTTGTCTTTAATTCTTATTCTAAAATCACATACATTTACACATGTATGCATGTACTACTACCTCTTAATTATTACACAACCTTTCCAATTTATATATAAATATATATATCTGCATATAGATGTATATGTTTTTTTTTTGTTCGACTTGTTTTCTAAAATAAAAATCGTTGTACTTCTCGTCTTAGTTTTACTTGGGTACGCGCGTTAGTATTATTAAAAAACAATATTTCTAAAATTTATATTTATTTTACTAATGGTAGTATTGAGCTGGTTGCTGTTATTGTTTTTGTCTTAATTTATCTTTAATTTTTTTTTTGTGTTATTTTCTTTTTCTTATTCTTTTTTTATTATAATAATAAACATTTAAAAAAGATGCTTCTTTTTAAATTTAAGAAAAAATAATTTAAAAAAATCTGTTCCTTAAATATGACTAGAGTTCACACTCATTCTTTTAACCTCCAGAGAAGTGTAGTTTTTCTTTAATCAATTTTTTTTTTTTTTTTTTTTTTTTTTATAATTATTTACTATATAAAAGAAAATTCTAGTACTGCACTTAATTGCCTGAACTTGAATTTAAATATATATATATATATATATTTGTATATATATATTTGTATATATATTTGCAATTTTTTCTTAAAAATTAAATTAAACTTTATAAAATGTTAAAATTAATTTAAAACAAAAGAGATCCGTACTCAAGCTGATATCGCATCGTGAAATTGTTTGAAGGAGATGGGTAAACAAATAATTCAAATAAACGCAAACAGATAATCTACAAACTATACTCGGCTCATGTTTGTTTCAATTTTTAACATCCACCATCAGGTAATGTACGATATGTTTTAGAGTATATCGGATCATATATATAGGATATATTGTATAGTGCTACTTAGAGTGAAAAGTGTAAGGCTTCTGGTTATTCTTGAGCGTAATGTTTACGCATAACGGGGGAACGATAAAGAGAGAGGGAGAGAGAGAGAAAAAAACAGAATGCACCCAAAAAGATGGCGAGATAGAGAATGGTCAAGCCAACTTCCATCTGCATCAAAATTCGATACATTGCCTCTGCTTATACCACTGCCAAAATGCGAAGGCGAATGTGCTTTTGCAAGTTGGTTGTGCATTTTTTGAGGGAAAGTTATAAAATCGTGCAATTCGAAAGATATAAATATATTGATAAAGAATATGTGTTATATAGCTGATGGGATCAATTAAGTATTATGAACGCTATAGAATAATTGGTAAATCTCTGGCCTGCGGTCATATGTGTATGGAAAGAAAATCAAACGAGTTCGAACGAAACAGCAGTACATAGGTTTTTTTCCTCCATATTTACTCATCTAAATAAGTAAAATAACCAGATGAACCTAACAAAGTCACTTTAAAATATCTTACGACGAGGCGTGCGCCTACGTGCAAAGCAATTCAGACGTACAGATGGACAGGCTTATACGAATACAGCAAAATATGCATCAAACTATACCGGATTGCATAATAATTCCTATAAGAAATATAAAAAGCTTTTCACATATATATATATATATATATATATATATATATCATCAGCCTGGTGGTATGTAGAATAAATACGAAGAAAAAAAGAGGAAAATTTAATAAAGATAAACTACAAATAAATAAAAAGTAAAATCAAATAAAGCCAGAATTGAATTATTATTCAAAAATTAACGAAATAACTAAATTTGCATAAACAAAAACTTCAACCTATTGGTTCTCAAACAAAAAAAAAATAATAATAATAAAAATAAAACAAAAAAAAAAAAAAAAAACGATATCTTACAAATTTTATAAATAATTGAGTTTTACATCGAATTCTTACATTTTAAGCAACGGGTATTAAACTTGATCAATTTAAAAAAAACAAAAACAAAAAAGCCTCATTTCACACATAAAAAAGAAGAAAGAAGAAATGAACTAAACCCTAACATTATGATGATGAAGGAAAGCTCTTCTCCGGAACGGTTCACAATTTTCTTTGCACGCCATTTGGATGAATCGTAATTTTGATATTTTTCAAATATTTCGTATATTTCGTCATAAATTAGACATTTGTATTAGTGTAAAGACAACAAGAATAATTTTTAAACAAAATTAACAATTTTATTGCCTCCTTATTACTGTTGATTATTTTGAAACGAGAATAATAAATAAAAATAAAATAACCAAAGAGATTACATGCATCCGCGAGACAAATCTTCTATAATCACTTGAAGGTATTTTTCTTTTGCTTTCGAATTAACATTAACATTTATGTCAAATTCCAAACGAATACTTGCTGCTGTACGTTGTAGGGTATAATTTCTTGCATGATTAATGTCAATCTGGGAATACTTTCGCCAACTTTCAGCTTTCTATTTCCATTTTGCATATCATGCAACCTATAACAAATGGACGGACAAATTTGGAATTTTACTCTTATCAGTAAAATGTATCTATTTAAGACATTCTTGAACAACGAACCGCGTATACATTCACCCATTGGTACAAGTTATAGCCGATAGCCATAATTTTAATTTTATTGTTTTGCATTAATAGGCCAACGTGTATACGCACACGCCACTCTGTAGCAATGTAATAAGATTAATATCTGGCAATTTCAATTGTCAACACACGGATTAAACGATCGTGAAATTTCAAATGATGATTTGATAGGATAGACTGAAGGACACTCTGCTCGTGCAATCTTGATCGTTACAACGAACGGACAAAACATAACCAATAAATCGCGTTGCATCTTCGCTTTCACTCTGCTCCATACCTCTCTTTCAAGTTCTTCCCGATATAATTCTAGGTGTTGAAATTATTTCAAAAATTTAATATTTTCCCCTAGAGTCAGTATGAAGAATAATTAATTAACACTTTAAAAAACTAATTGTTAACAAATAAATTTCTTTTAATAGAGTGTAATAACTAAAAAACATATATATTGAGTAGTATTACACTCGTTATTTATATGTGAATTGTTCCTTTTCATTTTGTACGTATATCGCTCGCTGTTAACTTATTTATTGAGAACTCATTTATATAAAATAAATTAACTTTGATCTCTTATTTAAAAAAAAAATATATATATATATATATGAATAATGCAATTAATTAAACATCATTTTCAAAACTATACCAAATTTATTGACTAGAGAGAGTTCACGCTCCTTCGTTAAGCTTAAAAACTGCAAAAAAGTTTTCGTTTAAATTTAAATAAAATCCTATATAATCTTTGGTACGCTTAGCTGTAGTAGGTGAAAAATCCAAACGGAAACTAGAAGAACAAAACTAAACTACATTTAAAGAAAAGAAAAAAACAAAAAAAAAACAAAACTTAAAATGAAATAAAAAAAAAAAAAAAAAACAAAAAAAACAAATACGATAAATACAAAAAATAAATACAAAACAACCCTTGAACACAGTATCATATACGTATATGTATAGAATGACAATCAAAAGAAATTATATACAATTAAAATTCACCTGCTTCTCTAGGCAACCAACTATATGGCAACACCCCCCTTGACACTACTTCAATAATACAATATTTCTTTATTCAATTGTTTACTTACTGCAAACACTATACGATTATATATGCGCAGCATTGAAAGAGATGTTATCCCCCCATTTGCCTCACCATTCGTTTGTACGATAAAGTGAATTATCGGTTAGTGAGCCAGTGTCGTGTGTTGTATAACTGAAGCGCAATTTCTTAAATTTGTTAAGGCTGCTGCCGCTATATTCTCCTCTTCCGTTAGCCCGGTCTCAATTATTTGCAAGCGACCATAACCATTCGAGTTAGATGAGCTGCTGCAATTTGATATGGAATCTTCTTGATCGAAGGAATGATGCGTTTCCGGCGTATACAATAGCTCTTCGTGTTTGATGTTATCGCTAACAGAGATTTCGGAAAACTCAACATTCTCAACCGATTTTATGGCATCTTTATTATGCGTTAATTGATGCTTGCGTAGATAAGCTTGTCGTTTGAATTTTTTTCCGCAATCTATACAATTGAAATTGACATGTGTAACTGTAGATGCATTCGATTTTTTCATATTTTTGTCTAAACGATTTTCTTTTCTTGCATTTAACGGCTGTATAGTATTGACAGTATTGGCGCGTCCATTCTCCTTCCGTGGTTTATGCCAACGACGATGCGATGCTAAATTAGCCGGACAATTGAATTGTTTACCGCATTCGGGACAACGATACTCTAACAAGACAATGCAGGCGCAACGATGTTGAGCTAAACCGAAAGCATCATCAAATTTTAATCGGCATAGCTTGCATATATAATCACCGATAACATTTTTGATTGCAGCTAATTCCGCTTTGGTTTCTTCCGTGATTTCTACGATATTGTATTTGGGATCTATATCGCCATTGCTATATTGCACCAAACCATCCGTAATATCCTCTAAAGGGCGTATAATAGTGCCTGATACAGGCGAACTGGTATCCTCATCGAATTTCAATTTGCGTATAGCCTTGTGGCGCCCGGACGATTTATTAGCAACGGCCGAAGTATGAGATTTTCCAGTTCTTGGCGCCTTATCGGTATATCGTATAGGCTTTGTGGGTGTATTTTCAAGGGGACACTCTTCAGGGATTATCTCTACTTTAGTAGATTTATTAGGATTATCTGCACAGACTTCAACCGATTCGATTTCTGAAAAGTTTCTTTTAATCGGCGTTAACGGTGGCGTTATAGGCTTTATATGATTTTTCGTTTCTAATATGGTCACAGTAGTAGTTGTGCTAATAACCGATGTATTTGTCGTCGTAGTAGGCTCGGTATAAACCTCAGTGAAATTGCTCGCAACTGGAACATCGTTAACAAGTTGTGGTGACATTGGTTTGCGGGATAAATCTAAAGGAATTTCACTTTTAGTTTTAATGTTCAAATAACGGCTACGGTATTTGGGTGGTAAAGAAGCCACTGTTGTCAGTAAACCCAAACCATGCGGCATGCCGCTTATGGAGTGGGCGTAGGTCGAATTGTTATGATGCTGTTGTTGCTGTGGCTGCTGCTGCTGCTGCTGTTGCTGATGTTGGGTGATGGCAGCCATTATTATAATGCACTGCACTGAGTTCGTAATTATTTTTAAAAATGATTTCAAAACACTTTTCAAAAACTTTTTAACACAACTTTTATGATTTACTTTAAACTCGAATAAGGAGAAAATTAATGCTGAACAATAGTGAAAAAAAAATTATTGATTAAAAAAAAAAAAGAAAAGAAAAACTTAACAAAAATATTTGCAACGTGTTAAAAGAAGAGAGAGAACTAAAATTCGAGTGAGATTAACGCGTCTCGTCTCGTTGCTGTTTGTGCTGTATGTGTTCTATGCGGTGTCTATGCTGAGAATGACTAACCTAACATCCTGCGGCTTATTTTATATGCCTTGAAAAAACCCACCGAAAAGGCAGAAACCAAAGCAGCCAAAGTATTCAATAAACGCTGCGAAACGTACGAATGTACGGCCAACCAAGCGACCTACCTTCCAACCAGACAAAAAAAAAAAAAAAAAAAAAACTAAACCCATTTCAACCCCCAATTTGATGTCCTTTTAGACTGTCTGTAACACTGTCTGAGTGCCTGGCTCAGTTCAGTTCAGTTCAGTTTAGTTCAATTCAGTTCAGTGTAAAAGGGAAAAAATCATATAGCACCATAAGCGTATAGTGTGGCACACATATACACTTTTATTTAACAGCCACACACATATTTTCATTCTCTGTTCACTCATTGAACATTAGTCACCCTTTTTTCCAACATAGCGCCCTTACACACAAACACATTCACATATATGCAGATCTACAAGCACTGGCTTACACATACGCTTACTGTTGTAATCTTCGTCATCATAGCAGCAGAGCCGGCGTCAGTGAAAGTCCTTTGCACTCTCTTCTACTTTTATTTATTTATTTATTTAATTTTTTTTTTTATTTATTTACTTATTTATTTATTTATTTATTTATGTTTTTATTTTTATTTTCATTTTTTTTTTTTTTTTTTTGAGGTTTTACTATTATCATTATCGTTGCTGTTGTTGCGATTGTTACTATTGTATTGCATTTTTACTACGCTAAACAATTACTACGTATACATATATATCTATATGAGCACATAAAAATATACATACATACATATACGTACCAAAATGTTACAATACCACGTAGAGTTCATTTCAGTTTTGCTTTAAATATTTTACTGGTGGGGTAGGTATGCGTTTCATTGTTGCTCGCTTGGCTTTATATATATTTACCGTTGCTTGGCAGTGCAGTTATGGTAAATGTAATGCATGAGCTTTTTTTTCACATTTTTTTCCCCTATTAACCGGAAATACTTTTACGTTTGCTTTACAATTCCTCTTTTTGTATTAGTATTCGTATTCCGTATTACTGCGGTTATCTCTATTCACTTTGTACACTGGTATCTTATTTTAATACACATTTCTGCTGCATAAACCTTACTCTGCTCGGGCAGCATTATTTACTTTCATTAAGTTTTACTGCTTTACTGCTTCATATTCCAAGTACTGGGGGGTTAAAACGTGGCACGATGTGCCTTCTAATGTTTCTGATGCATGCAACGTTCTATTGGCGGTTCCAGCAGAAAGATAAGAACCTTTCAAATTGACGGCAATACGTTCAAACAATATGTCGTCATTAAATAAATGTTCATTCTATTTACAAAAAATCAAAAGAATTTTTTTTTTCTTTTTGAAATTCAACCAACGCCAGAAAGAAATGCAACAAAATTTTATCCAAAAGTATTTGTACAACAAATCGTGATAAAATTTGTCAAACTTATCCACTTTAACAAGAAAATATTGTTCGATAATTCAATTATTTCAACGTCTGTAACGAGATTATATTCTCATCTAAATGGTAAATACGTGAGATTGACGGTTTTTTGAAAGTAACCGCACATTAATCAATCTATTTGTACGCTACCATAGACATCTCTAGCAAATGAAAGTCGTAAGCTGCTCATGAAATGTTGTTCCCCGAAATTGTTTCCTTTTTTTTTCGGCTGGGTTCTCGAGAACTTGGGCGTATTTTGAACCCTGGCTGATGGAGAACTTAAATCCAGAATCTATTGCAAAATAACGCAAACGGTTTCAAAAACAGTTAATTGATCGACATTGAAATACTATGCGATATAGGGACTCATCAAATAATGATCATTAAAACGATTGGTTAATTGTCCTCAATTGTTTCTTGTCCACCTAAGGAAGAATCATCTTAGGGCCAAAAATGTCCGTAATGTGAGCGGTTGTTGTAAGCGGTTATGTAGCTACGGTGGTAAGACTAAGTTTTCTGCCAATATTTTTATGTAATACATACCGAGCTCCTTCACTGGGGCTAAACCCCAGTAAAGCTCTTGAACGAATAGACAATTAATTCTCATTTAATAAATGTCTCCCATACGCGTAGGAACCACGCTGTTCAAGAAGGATTGTTGGTACAGGAGGATGGAGAAAGGGAATAGTGTTTGTGTACGTTTGTTATAAATATGGAAAAATCAACCACGGCAAGAAAGATTCGTGCTGGTAGTTTGTTCCAAATGTGCGTGATGCTGTTAAAAAATGACGAGTCACGGTAGTGTGCCGTACGATAAACAGAAAATTCCATAAGTAATGGATGGGAACGCGGAGAAAACCTTGTAGTCCTGTTAAAGAACTTAATTGATAGACAAAACTCTCTTTTTCATCTAAAGAGCACTTTTCGGGGATGTACGTGCCCTCGCTACGCTGAAGCCGCCTAAACCTATTGTTATATGCAATCGAGCGCATTCAAGCAAAGTTTGGCGACTCCCGCGCACGCATAGGAGTTGCAATCAAGCGGTTTTTAGACAACCTAGATCCTTCACTGTATCTTTCGACACTTTGAATACATGCTCCGTCAAACGAACATCATTGTGCAGTCTCATATCTGGAATGTCATTGGACTGCCAAATCCTCCGCATTAACATTCAGTGCGTTAAAAGGCAGCCCTTTGTTTTCGTGACATCAAACTCCACTCCCTTAGCTTGATCCTATCTACCACGTTTTGATCGCAAAATTCTACATATTCTTGATGTACCTTCCATTAATACTTCTGAATACTGCAAATGAAATGCATATATATATATATATATGACAATGTCTATATAGTCCATTTCCCATTGGTGAAGATCTGTGAAAAGCATTTATCCATATAGCGAGAGCAACGATAATTTTCTTTCATTTCATTTTCTTTTTCTTTTTTTTATCCTTTTGGTTCATTAGATGCGATTTTTTAGGTACAATAAGATGGACCTCTAATTGAAAAATTAAAATAAAAAAAATAAAAAATACTTCAGGCGACATTTAGACAAGAAGTAATTCTAACAGATTTGTACTTTTAAACAAGGTATCATAACCTCAAGTTATATTTGAAACATATTACAAAGATATCTCGGTTTATGCGACGACAGAAGGAACTGCCAACCAATTAGCAAGTGACTCGAATTATTAAATACCATAGTCAATGATGCGCGACATTTACGAGAATTAAAACCCGAATAGTAGACTTTTAAGTGTGGTAGAGGTTAAGGTGTGTAAACGCTTTCTCTTTTTCAAATTTAACAAGCCGCATACCATTGTTTTGTTTTTGTCATAATATTTAAAATGATTCAAAAGAGGACGTTTTGCCGATCATTTTCGACGCCATAGCCGCACGACAAAGCTCGCCCATACATCGTCAATTCGAACAAGCAAACCGTTCAGATTGAAGCAAAGGCTCTCCCGTAGCCATCTTCTCTTTAAGAGACTGCTCACAAATACCCGAAAACTCTATATAATTAACAGCCCATATAACACATTACTTAATAATCTTCCATTCTGGCAGATATGTGACAACACTATTGACAAACTCATATGATTTCTGGACAGTACGAGTCTTCAAATTGTACGTGTCAAAATTTGATGACATTTTGACCATTAGTTTCCAAATTACAATTGTTTTAGTGAGACAACTTTTTCGGTTGCTGTGAGCATTTTCCGCCAATTTCCATCGACTGGACTGACTGCCAATTTAACTTCGCAGTGCAGCAATGAACCTGCGTTTCATCCTTTGTCCCACATAGTGTGCAAAAATCCTATTCATTCCTCCTAAACAGCGTCAAGCAGCGCTCGAAATTATCAAGACATTGTTGTCAAGAGTGAGCAGCGGCGACAACCACTTCAAACAGTAAATAGTAATACGCTGCCTTCTCATATCCTGAACATGTCAAGCTACGCACGCATGTCACGCAACTTCGGTTTTCGGTTTTCCAAAACAATTCCGTGCACTTTTTTTACGTTTTTTACAAAAATTTACAGATTCGGGCGATGACGAGTGTTCAGCATCATCGGTATGCATACGATAGTGTTTCAAATTAATGAATCACATATTTTGGAAAATCAATTTCTCAAACAATTTCATCATGTCTACCCATATGCTATTATGTTTAACCTAAGCAGAGCAATTTTTAAAATGTTTTAACGAAATTTGATACATTGACCTAACTTGGCGCTAGAACGAGTTCTATTAAAGAAGACTTGGACTGGGGCATTTTTGTGACAACTTAACTTAGTATCAAAGCGGTTTCCTAAATGGTTTGACATACGAAATAGTTGTCAAAAATGGAGATCGAATGCACGCCTTCCAATCTAACCATTCCTGCTATTACTACTTACTAATGTTTTATAACGAAAATTAGTCCACAATAGCAATTTGGCCTAAAAATTATATATGAACATTGCACCTTTAAGAGTTTTCACAGAAAGTAAGTCCTTATCTGGCAAAAAGTCTAATTCTTATCAATTTGTGATGAAGATAAGCGAAGAATAAAAACATCTTGGACACGAAAGTTCAGGTATTGCGTCCGGGCCCACTCAAGAGCAACTATGACAAGCACCGTTTTACATGGGACATATTTTTTTGATGTTGATTGAGAGCATTGAATACCCGACCTTGCCTTGCTATAAACTTTTCACAGTGACTTGCAGCCTTATTCTTTGGATATCTAATAGACTGATTGTGATCGAAATCTGCTCATATCCTCCTTTATTTGATTTTGATATGTATGATATATTGTTTTGATTATGATAATTATAAGCCCTCTGCGCAAATGGGTGGACGGCCTATCACGGCAAGAAAGGAATTTGAGTTTTGCTTGTGACAGCCAGACAGCTCAACACAAGGCAATATCTTAGACTATAGATGAGATTTGAAAATATTGTCTATATTACACATATACCCATAAAACGAACTCACTTGCGTCTTGTAATAATGAATGATTTTTTTTCGAAAGATTTTAAATATCGTATATTAACGGCTGAAAATATAACGTAGAGTGACTTACCGCACCATGTGTATGTAAGTATATATGTATGTATGTTATTTATTTTGATTAAAATTTTTCTCATTCGTTCAGTACACTCCCCCTTACCAGGCATGTATATATGAAATAAGAATTGTTGCATAGTAAGTACACAAATACAGGAAAATAAATTTTATTCAAAGTATTACCCATCGCTAGATATAAATTGTTCCCATCTGTTTAAAAGTTTGTGAATGCCACCAAAAAACTATTGTCCTTTTGAGGCAGAACTGTCCGTGAATGTCGCTGGGCAGCATCTCACTTCGATGCAAACAAATGGTAATCCCAAGAACACGAGTTTGGTGAGTCACCCATATTGGCTAGTATTTCCAAGTTATGTGTTTCCAACATATTGCGAATCAACTTACATGGATGTTTAGTCGAATGCCAGATCAAAAATTAATCTGATCTGCTTTTTTTTTCTACCCATCAACGAAAGTCAAAACATTTGCAACAACTAGAAGAAAGCATAAGAGACTTCCCAAAGTGTATATATTCATGATCAACTTAAAATTCTGAATTGATTTAAGCATGTCCGTCTGCCCGTCTGTGTAATCTCTCGCCGCAAAAATTAAGCTATCGACCTCAAATTTGAAACAAACAACGAAAGTTCGTGCTCGCAGATTGGTATTGAAAATGGACCAAATCGGTCGAAGAAAGCACGTCCACAGTCCCACGTAAATTGAGAACATTTCCGCTTTTCAAAAAGAAACAAAAAATTGCTTTTTTTCTTATCACTCATAAACTAAGGCGGAGAAAGGTACAAGAACTGAAACGCATATTCTACGGCTGATGGCGGTAGCACCTGTACAAAAATGAAAAAAAATGACCATCCCACGTTATAGTGAGTAGTATATAAATTCTTGCCCCGTTTCAAATTCGAAGTGCACCTTAACATGTCCGTCTGTCCATCTGTCTGTCTACGCAGCTATAATAAACATTTTTCCGATAGCGAAAATGATGATATCGCCTAAAAGTTTGTTAAAGAACTTGAAAGTGACGCCCACATGCTCCTACGACAAAAACTTTTCTTTTGTAATTAGAAAAAATCAGCTGCGCTCGCTCTTTATTATATAGCGTAAAAATGTAGTCCTTTCACTTGGTGATGGGTACAAAAGATTCGATCACGACCGAATATAATTTTCTTGCTTGTTTTATTTTTTATTTTTATTTTTTTTGATTAAAGCAAGTAAAACAGATCTAATTTAATCAGATGTCTGATCTCTTGGAAATTTCGAACGAGTTGACTTGAAAAAACCAAGTTAAAGTTAAAAAATGAAGTTAAAGTTTTCGTATGCGAAACTTTGCTCTGCATTCTAGAAACTTAGTTTAGCTAACAAAACATTTCTAGTCGAGATAGTGAATAAGCAGCATTCGCCCCAAGGCACTTACAATTTTCTCACTTGTATGAATTTCCTGATATACGACATATTAATTATACAATATTACATATGTATGTGTTTATGGGATATGTTTCAACGTAGGTGTGTCTGCGCTCTTATTTTTTTTTTTTTTTTTGCTTTTTTTTTATATTTCAAACCTTGTGAAATTTATATGACAATCATGCCTGAAGGATATTACGAGAGTATTTATGATAAAAATTATGATACTTGAAAATAACACTTTAGCAGATTGTAAACTTTTTGAAAAAAAAAAATTCTATTCATTCGTATTCCAAAATAAAAAACAAAAAAGGAAATTTTTTTATTTTTTATAAGACATAGAACGACGTATATATATATATATATATATATAAATATATATATGTGTGCGTGTGTATATAGTTGAAATTGAGAAAAAATAAATGGTTGTGTAAAGAGCTTTCACTTTTATTACGTATGCAAGTAAAGACAAAGCAAACAACAAGAAGAAAAAAAAAAAAGAAAAAGGAATGAGAAAAATGCGAAGCAGAGAAAAATGCAAATGCAAATGCAAAGCAAGAGTGCAGAGGCGTACTTGTCACCGCAAGAAAACAATTTAATTGCATACTAATGTGGCCTTAACGGTATTTGTAGAGCACAACTCATAGAAAATAAAAGTATATTTATTTTTGTTTATCAGTAAGAACATACATAACTGGGAGTATGTTGTGTTGTTGTTTTTTATGGATGTGTGCGCGCGCGAGTATGTTCATAGCCGACAAGCAACAACATAGACATCAAAATGTATGAAATTATTTTTTGTTTTTTTGATGAACAAATCAAAAAACCAACAAGGAATAAACATTACGGCAAATGAGTTTTACGATAATAATGATGATGATGATGATGATGATGATGATGATGATGATGATGATAATGATGTGTTATGCTTTATGTTTTGTTAATTGTATATTGTCATCAACACACAAACACACACGCACACAGAAATAACACTAAAGGATGCGTATGTATATATGTATGTATGTAGATATGTCACACTCTATATGCTCTCGTAATTGATGCACATATATAAATATATATATGCATCCCATATATAAATATATGTGCATATGTGTTAATATACGCGCGATTACGTGTATGCATGTGTGTGCATGCATGCCCGTGTATTAACAACAAACATTAATTACATTTCGATTTACGGGGAAATGCTTACGGTAAGTGCGTCTCTATGCATATATATATACGCTATAACTTTTCTTCTCCGAGAGCTTTAAAGAGCCACAAGAACATCTTTAGGCACTTGATAATGCTGCACCACATTAAAAGTGGTGGTGGCTTTAAGAACAATTATCCCATATAACGTATTCGCACGGCTGACTGGCTGATGCCAAAGTGGAATGATTTCATATACATTTAAGGGTTAGCTGTCAAAGTGGCAAAATTTGCTGCATCACAGCCTTGGGCAAAGGTTTTAAAAATGCATAAAACATATAAAATTATGTTTAAGTAAATTACAACGCATTAAAGACTTTTTAATATATATTTGCGTAATCTAAAAAATATTAAGCTTTCTAATTTTCTTATTTTTTTTTTTATTTTTTTTTTTTTAACATTTTCATTTTACATTCATTCACACATTGGCACGTACGTAACTCATTACTTATATTTTTGTTATAAGGCTCGATATATATTTTTTGTCTACCCAGTATGTGCCTAATATAAGGAAGACGGTATTCAAAGCTAACGAAAGATACAACAAAGCATTTCTATACAACAACAATCGGCACAAAACAATACGAAGAAAATCAAAAAAAAAAAAACAAAAATAAAAAGAAAAATAAAAAGAAAATAAATAAATAAATAAAAACCAATGGTATACCAAACCCAAAAATACTAGAGGGTGGTTTTTGATGAATGCCGTGCATTATAATGCATAAGATTCATTCTATCATTCATTCTATCAGGCATAAGCACGCGAAAGGCAGCCAACAGATATCTCAGAACACATTCACATGGTCGGGGTTGCTTATGATGGATTCGCTTTAACAAACTTTTCCTTTTACTTTATACGCGCACTTGCACACACACACACACACATACACACACGCGCACAACGCCCATACAAAGTCCAAATTCTGATATTATTTTGTTTCTTCAATTGCGACGAATTCTCGAGAATTTTATGCGTATGTACGCTTATCGAACAACTATTTGCACAAAAATGCGAAAATAAACCTTGTTACGCGGTTCTTTAGCAACCACCAACACGCTCGACTACGGCCATCATCAAGTCACCCTTTAGCACTTGACTACGCATAATCGTACGGCTTTCTAGGCTTCGTTTAGCATTTGATTGTCAGTTGTATGCAACAACACTAGTCCCGTTGTCACTTAGTATGGTGCACTGGGAATTCTATGCAAACAAACGGAAAAATATATGATTTATTTTGTTTTTTTTATTTTCCTTTTCGTTTTTTTTTTTTGTTTTTTTCCGTTCCTGCTATAAGGGAAAGTAAAAACTGGTTGTCATGTGCCCTGTATGCCGTCTATGCCGTGGAAATAGAAGGAGTTTATTTGCTACCATGCACACGTGTCACTTTATAATGCAGCATAGT